GTAATATTCCTAAAGGAGACTTTAACTTTTAACAAAGTCATGTTTTAGTAAGATACTTGTACTTTTACTCAAGTATAACTTTGTGGTACTTTATAAGCCTGTCAGAAGCAGAACCAGTAAGTGAATGCACTGAAGGTGAAACACTAACTTTCCCTGTTGTTTCCTGGTGAACTTGTGAGGCTCTACTCCTCTCAGCTTCTTGTCTGAAAGACAAAAAGGCGGCCAGGGGGGTACGAGCAGGGACGTCCGGTGCATCGTCCTCATCTTCATCGCTCGGTTCCTCACCATCACTGCTGCTGCCTGGATAAAACCCACACGTGACATAAAAACACCGCATTCGTACGTTTAATAAAACGTACGAATCGCTCGTTTGAACCGACTTGATTCACTGAACCGAGCGCGGGCCTTTCCCCCCGCTTTGGGGGCGTGGTCACCTCTCCTCCTGCTCCCTGTTTCCATGGAAACGGGTCCTGTCTCCTGAGCAAAGCATCACATTCAAGGGTCAGACAGTCACACACACACACACACAAAAGAAACACACAATGCAAACACAGACATGCAAAGCGGTTCTTTCTTCTGAACCGGTTTTCAGTAAAGAAATAAACAGATGATTCCAGAGGTTGGACAGATGTGTTGGACCTACGTCTGGGAAAGCTCCACATGCTCCCTCCTCCTCCTCCTCCTTCTTAAACACAGTGTAGAAGATGTAGACTAAAAGAGAATAGAAGGCGTACATCTCCACGCCGTCCCCTGGGAATGACGACTAAATCCACCGATCGCCTAAAAACATATCATTACATCATTAAAACACATCATTACATCATTAAAACACATCATTACATCATTAAAACACATCAGGAAATAATGAGGCGATGCAACAGGACTCCTCCATCCTTGTACCTTTTCAAACACGTCCTCCGTTCTGCCGGCGGCGGTCCCTGACTCCAGCCTCTCCGGTTCCTCCGTCGGGCTCCATCGTTTTCAGCGCTTGTTCTCAGAGCTGCAACAAAAAAAAAAGCCTCCTCCTCCCCCTCCCTCCCCGCTGTGCTCCATCAGACAGAGCATGCTCAGTGCGCTGCAGTGATTACAGATGCGGACWCAGAGAAGGAGGTGGCGATGAAGTTGGTGCTGATGCTGTCGGCCTGTGTTAGAGGTCAACAAGGAGGGCTTTTTTTTGCTTTTCAGGGAAAACCTGTAAAGAACAAAAAGTGTTTTTTTTTTTATTTGAAGGTTTAAAAGTCACTAAAAATATCTCAGAAATGCAATGAAAGAACACAAGAGAGATAAAGGTTTTCTTTGGTAAACATTATTTATTTGAGATGATGTGGACATGTTTCCTCTTAGTGAACAGTTATTTTATATTTAGTTTGTTTCAAACTCCTAAAAACATCCAAAAGGTCAACACATAAATAACTTAATAAACCAGGGCCATCAACTAAACTGCTCCGAGGGCCACAGTTACTGTCAGTCGACAGCTGAGGGGCCGAAAATCCAGCAATTAAAGTCATTATGTAAATAAACCATTACAAAGAWATGTTACCTTTGAATTAGTTTATTTTACTGCGTTTAATCATGAATACAACATATTGAACCCTATAAAAGTAGTGATAATTACACAATATTCTGCCTCCTATTATTAGACAGATAATATTTTGACATCTCTGACTTGCCAAATTTTKAAACCAATTTTATTTTYACTTTCATCATTTTATCTTCAACTGCTTGTGGTTTTAATTGTCTTGAGTGATCATAGAAATGTTTTTTACCAGCTTATAGCCAAGATTCGACGTTTCTGTAGACACCAAAAAGAACTTAGAGTAATTAAAGTAGAAAACCGGCGATTTGGGCTTAAGAGATGAATAAACCAATTGGGGGGCCGAATTTTGGTCACTCGCGGGCCACATCCGGCCCGCGGGCCG